TGGATGGGAAGAAGAGCAAGAACGTCAGTAACAACAGAGCGCCATGAAAAATTTCGAGCAACTGCCTGAGCTTTTGATTCCCAACCGGAGTTTCGGGTTGTTTGTAGCTTGGAGTTCACAGTTGTGAAGGCTTGTCGAATTTGACATATAATATGCACTATGAAAGTGATATCCAAGAGGGACCGCAAAACAAGTGCCACAACCCTCAAATTTTTGTCCATTCCAAGGCACTTGTGATCTTCATCGATGAATGGAATGTAGAAGAACAAAGGGTCCAATGAGACTGAAATCACACATGAAATTACAAATATTTGGTTCCATAATGGAATATTTGCAACAAGTTTATCAAATCTTGGCCTTTCTGAAGCTCCTCCAAGTTGAGTACCGCCCAAAGTGTAAGGTGTTAAGCTGAAACGAAAATGCAAATCAGAAAGGGGAACAAAAACATAACATAACAAAATGTGTCATAAATGAATTGAGACCCGATCGGCGGAGAAACTAACCTTACTTGAATGGTGGGCTGATCATGCAAGTTACTCATAATTTAAACCTCTTTATGTTTGAGAGGATATGTATCAAACTATTTAGCTTCTGAACAAGAATTGAAAATATATATAGAATTGAAAGCAAATGATTTGCAATATGGAAGAGAAGAGTGTTCAATTATAAAGACTTGCGATATTCGATATTAGCTAGCATTATTAATTTGGAATTTTAAAATAAAAGAGATGGGGTGGAATAAAAAACCCAGGGCAATGTGTATATATAAGTGGAGTCTTGTTTGTAGTAGTCGTTGACGAAGAACTTGTCCAAGTCCTTACCCAATATTAAATTCCCTTCCTTCCTTCCTTCCTTCCTTCCTACCTTCCTTAAGAGTCGTCCATCCATGCCATACAAATTACAATTAACCTAGCTACGTCGATTATCATTTTTAATTTGCCAGTTGCTTGGTAGAGTTGACAAAGGTGACAAATGCAACAACCGATGGAGGAATTAATGCATAATTTAGGTTCAAATTGTTCTTCTTTATAATAAGGAGGGAGTCAAACTTAATCATCATGCATGCAAGTTGCTACTTTACTAAAAGCTTGTTGAGGAAAATTTAGAGTACACAACTCTAATTTAGATTTGTTGGAGACAAAACAAGTAAACAATTTACTTGTATTAGACTCACAAAATATTACAACAAGATAACTCTCAAAAGGAAAAACAAATTCTTACAAGGACTCTTTCTCACTTCACTCACACTTCTCATTAGAACTACTTAGCTCTATAGCTCACTCTTATTGTTGACACACTTCACTTCTTGATTGATTGATTACATTGACAAGCTTCATGCCTATTTATAGAGGTAGTAACCGACTTTGACAAAAGATCTTGTAGTTTCTAGGAATTTTTAGGCGGTTTGGTGTTGCTTACTTTGCTGGACTTCACTTGAGAATTCTAGATTGTTCTAGTTTCAATCTGCCAACTTGCTTAGCCACTCCACCGACTTGAGCATTTACTTCAGCTATTGTTTTCTCCTATGTATTATTCTAGATATTTCTAGTGGTATTATCACCTTGTTGTTTACACTTCTAGAACCTTGTAGAAATTGCTCCTCAAAATGGGTTGAGCTGGGGTTGATACTTTAACAAAGCTTACAATATATTCTCTTCTTCTTATTTTGGTGTGGATATAAAGTCAATCAAACTCCATAGCTAAGCTGTCTTACAATTTTAAATTCATTAATTAAGCTTCTATAAATATCTTCTCCAAGTATCCCGAAACCATTGACCATAATTTCCAATTAATCTAACAACAACTTCTTTCGTTTGACAAACATTGGTATTTTATTATGTCATGCGCATTTCATTATTTTTTGGGCATAGGGCATAACAAGTTGTTAACCTGGGCCAAGTAATGAGCCAAATGAAGAAATTAAACAAAACAAAACCCAGATTAATCAGTAGATAAATTGGATTGAATTGGAGAAGATGCACGAGGTCTTTATTTGAATTGGAAATTAATACAAACTACGCCTATCTGATCGAATCAGGGGGTGATCAGTTACAGTTACTAAAACAAAACACAACACATGATCAAACCTATATACTACGTACATATATTACACAGGGTTCTGACCTAGCTAATGATCAAGGCTTCTCTCCTCCACCTAATGAGAATTAGGGTTATTGTACTTCCACAAGTTTCTGCATTTGTGGACCACAGATTGCAAGTCCTTGGCCGAGAGTGCAAACCCTTCTACGTTTGTATGACATTTGACATTTTCAGTCCAGTTTGGAAGGTTCTTAAAATCGAGAAGGTTACCGGGTGCAGCCCAACTCAGAAGTTGTTCATATCCATAAAAGTCATCCTTCTTAAGGTCCTTTCGGATCACTGCCGACGGCGAAGCTTTTCCAGCTTGACTGTCATCGCCAGTCTTGAGAATCCACATAGTGCCTTCTGTAATGAAGATCATGTGATCAGCTGGACTACCCGCTTCAGCAAACATGTAGCTCTCGGTGTACGACACTGGCTTCAGATAGTCGCAAATCATTTTCAACACTTTTTCATCCATGCCTCTAAGCCCTGGTAACTGTACACACACACACATATATATTTATATATAGCTTACATTATTAATAATGGATACGTAAAGATGAATAAATGTTTATGTTGAGAGAGAGGTACAGAGAGGTTTAGCAATATACTTCTTTGAGCGCATCCAGACAGAGATGACGTTTTTAGAATCCACATAGTGCCTTCTGTAATGAAGATCATGTGATCAGCTGGACTACCCGCTTCAGCAAACATGTAGCTCTCGGTGTACGACACTGGCTTCAGATAGTCGCAAATCATTTTCAACACTTTTTCATCCATGTCTCTAAGCCCTGGCAACTGTACAGTGTACAGACACACACACACACACACACACACACACACATATTTATATATAGCTTACATTATTAATAATGGAAATGTAAAGATGAAAAAATGTTTATGTTGAGAGAGAGGGACAGAGAGGTTGAGCAATATACTTCTTTGAGCGCATCCAGACAGAGATGACGCTTGAGAGCTTTTTTAGTATCCCAGGGAAGAACGGCGAACAGATTCTCCAGATTAGCATCTTTGTTATCTTCCAATTTTTGTTTTATGTTTTTTATGATAACTTCCTGCAACTTCGGAGGGACACGTTTTCTGGTCATCCACGATTGCAAATCTCTCTGTGTCACAATCATCTTCTGCCTTATCTCCTCCGCTTTTGTAGTTTGCATCTGCATGTATGTCTGTTTCACCACCACAAACAATAAGCTCCATCGATCAGTTCCTAAAATCTTATAGCTACAAGTGTGAAGCTCAAGGAAGATATTATGCATGATTGAAAAAGAAAATAACAGAGAGATTCTTTAATTGCCAACCTGCACATTTCCAATCAAATACAAAAATATTAGCAAACCAGACACCGAAACAAGAATTGCAAAGCTGATTTCCCATGGATAGTTACTTGTTTCTTCTAGGTTCGTGCCAAAATTACTGCAAAAAAGTAATTTAAAAAAACTCTGCGATGTGAATAGTAGTAAAAGATGGAACTTATTGTAAGAGAATATATATGCCACAATGCAAACCTTAAGTTTCGCAGGCCCCACCAGAAACAGTAAAATAGTTTCTCTACCAGTTTTTTGGATTCGGTGTTATGAGACTCAAGGGCAGCTCGAAATATTCCAAAGCCAAAGTCTCCATCTGGAGCGCAAGTTGTATTTAGACCATTTATAAATGACTGCATAACTGTTGCTGTACCGTTATCCCTGTTGCAGTAAAACGTATAATTGCTTGGACAATCTCGACCACATTTCCGATGCCAGCACGATGTTTCTCGTTGAATAGCGAAGAAATACCAAAATGCTCCAAACACCTAATTAATCAAAACACAGTTTATGTTAACAAAGAATAGTAGCTAGTAGTATTAAGTCAATTGAAAAAGAAAACTAGTCCAAGAATATATGAAACTTACATGACTTGCAAGAATGTAGAGAAAAAAGTTGAATAGACCTTTAACCCATATTCCAGAACTTTTTGTAATTTTTTCAGACGATAGGTATATTCGATAAATCCTTGCCACGTACTGAAGGAGAAGAAATAAATTCAAAATCTTCCTATGTTCCAAATATCCAGGGCCACCCATTTTGAAAAAGATGACTACAAGCAGTACCTAGACAAAATAAACAACCAATGCAATGATTAATTATTATCACAAATTAAAAAAATATAAAATAAACACTTGAACTTTGTGTTACTTGTGGGACGGGAAGAACAGCAAGAATGTTAGTTATGAAAGAGCGCCATCTCAGTTTTTCCCATATTGCATCAACGTGTTCAAATGCATCGAAAAATCTCGAAACCCAGTCGGTTGACTTTGCTGCTGCTTGTTCTTCATTGGGATCTGACTCCTCGGCCACAGCTTTAATGGCTTCACGAATTTGATATACAATATGCACTATGAAGGTGACATCAAAGAAGGACCGCAGAACAAGTGCTACGTTCTTCAACTTGACGTCCATGTCAAGGCACTTTTTTTCCTCATCGATGATTGGTATGTAAAAGAACAAGGGATCTAATGAAACTGCAAGCACACATGCAGTTACAAATATGGTGTTCCACGATGGTTTCAAAAGAAGAACAAGTTTTTCACGGGTCGTTTTCTTTTGGTTTGTTTGTGAAGTAGGATATTGTGGAACTGATGGTGCACTTGCCCGCTTGGGCTGGGGATGAACTGAGTTTGGCCTTCGTCGGAAACTCCCTGTGCTACCGTTGGCTGAATAACCTCGCTGAACGCTGGAAGATATTAACAAGAAAAAAATAACAAAACAAATTCAAATTACTATTTCAAAAACTAAGATGCAAAAATAGGAAAAGATAAATTTGATTGGAAGAAATTAACTGAGAATGACCTTAGTTGAATTCGCTGGTCCTCCAGGTCCTCCACACTACCAGTATTCATGGTTATGCCAAAATTGAAATTGGAGGTACGATAAGATTACCGAAATGTATTCCAAATGTTTGAAAACCAAATGAAGCTGGAATAGGTAGCTTCTTGAAGCCAATATGGAACAGAACATTGTTAGATTCAGTTTTATAGACTTACCTGCACGCATCAGCTCAACTCAACATGCAATAATATAATTAGGAAATAAAATGAGAGACTTGCCTTTGTAGTTGACGAAGAACCAGCGATAACTATGTAGTCTTTTCTTAATATTTTCTTCCTTAGTTAATTCTTTGCCAACCATAGACTTGTCCGTTCTTAGTCTTTTCCTAATTGCCTTTGTAGTTTTTATTTTTTATTTTTACACAAGCGATATTGGGAGAGACGTGGTTTTCTTTACGCATAGTTTTTGCTAGTTGCTAACTTTTTTCTATAGGTGACAGCTGACAAATCAGCAACTGGAAAATAAAAACTGTATTCCAGTATAGGTGGGAATTGAATAATATTGTATTCCGCATCATCAAACTTGCAAGTTGCTGATTGACTAAGATCTTAGTCAATTAACTCCGTCGCGTACGTCAATGTATAACAACTTGTGGTAGTTGATCTTTCAATTTTTTCTTTGTTGGGGAGTTAAAGTCAATCACTCCCATAACTCCAACCTGTCTTGCAAATTTTTAACTCATTCATTATTAATATTATTCTGGAATGATATATATGAAGCCCAAATTTAAGACCAGTTAATCTTTACTAATATCAAGAAAGAATTGATGAGAAAGAGGGAGATGGGCATGCAGGATCTTCGACTTCAGTTATTCCCCAAGAGTAGTCATTAATTAGTATATAATATATTGGTTGCAAATGTTTAATCAATGTTTCTACAGTAACAGTAGTATCAATCAATGTTAATCATCACTGCTGATTGGTTTTGTCCTAGTTGCCTCGTGAAGTGTTCGGACTCAATATCTCACATTTGTGAATCGTGATGGTTCAAGAGAGCTTTTGTGCACCGTCGAATCTCCTTAACATGGAGCACCAAGGTGACTCCTTGGGGAAGATACCTGATCCCTGAGCTTGCTGACATTTACTCTTTGGCGCCAGATGATACTACCACTACTACATTCACCAGCCAATGGGGGTGTATGCTGCTGCTTATTCATCTTTGCTTGATTAATGCGATGGACTTTTCTTTCTATTGAAGAAATTGCGTGCTTCTTCAGCTGCTTCAACTGAGGCTCGCTAAATTGGTTGAGCTCCTTGTCCTTGGTGAAATACCACCAGAATTTAGTGATTACCAACTCCAAGTCCCTGGCCGTGAGTGTAAAGGCCTCAACTTTGCTTACAGACTTGACATTTCTGGTCGAGATGGGTAAGACAGTATGAGACGTAATTTGATTTGATGCCCAATTTAGAAGCTCTCCTCCATACAAATCACCCTTCTCCAGAAGCTTAGAAGTACCAATCTTTCCACCTTTGCCATTTGTTCTATACGCCCGTACAATGCCTTGCCTGATGAAAAGCATCCTATCAAGTTGGTCCCCCTCTCCAAAAATATCCTTGTTCTCATTGTAGTTGATTGGTACGAGATGTTCACAGATTGCTTTCAACAGTTTTTCATCCATAGCTTTAAGAATACGAACCTATATAGATACATTTAATACATCAGAGTTACGACTAATTAAATCCAATGTATATGTGTGTATATATATATACACAGAAAGGAATAAGCACTTACATTCTTAACTGTAGCCAAACGAAGATAACGCCTGATAAAGTTGCTATGTACCAATGGAAGAACAGAGAGGATGTTCTCTACCTGAACATCTTTATTTTGTTCAAGTTTTTGGGTCAGATTTCCCCTTGGTAGTAGTCACTGATTCCCACTGATCTATAACCGATCTGAAAAAGGCACAACAAACAACAAAATGTGTCCAAATTGCACCCATCAGAATAAAGAAGCATAAAAAGAGCCAAATCATATATTGGTTGGGGGGGGGGCGCCAAATCATATATATATATATGGGATTGTAGATCGTGAGCTAAGATTGCAAATTCACATAGGCTAATGGATTTAAATGCAGACACAGCACATAAATTTATTTGAAGGGGTAGGCAGATGCCAGAGCCAGTGCGGGTATAATACAACTTACAAGTCGTATTGTTTGATTGAATACACAATTGATTTAAGAACGGAAAAAAGAAATGCAATTAAGTCATCTCAAGGTGAAACAGGTACTAACCTCTCAGTTTTCATTATCGGATTCTCCACATCTAAAGCTACTTCGCTGCCAGCCATAATTCTTAAAGTAAGGAGCTTAATTCGTAAAGGATGATATCACAAAGTTGTGAATGATGGCTTTTGCAAAGTTATATTGTTAGAGAATTATCCATATTCAATCTACAACAACGAGTGTGGATAACCCTGCAGAGAAAGAGAAAATGTGTTTGATTTGAACTGAGAGAGAGAGAGAGAGAGAGAGAGAGAGAGAGAGAGAGTTTAACTGAATGGAAGCTTAGCTTACAGCAGTGACACACTGACACTGAGTGGGTCAATTTTTCATTACACAGGGTGGAGCAGAGAGAAGGGGCATTTGAGATTGAGTGGCAGCAATTGAAGGGTTTAGGGTTTAGAACTATATGGCAGAAAGAGAGAAATGTGTGGGATACAATCTTTGCTTAAATTCAAGAACTATATTGTAGAAAACACAGAAAACCAAGAGTAAACATATGAATTTTCTGCATACGCGAAACTAGATATTGAGACCCTCTGCTGTTTGTTATTTATACAATAGAATTTTAGATTCCAATTCCATATTTCAAAATGGGAAAAGAGAGTGGTGGTCATACTTTACTAGTTTGATAAAAATAAAGGTGTAAAAGAGTTTATGTTTTTCTAAAACTTGATATGAAGAGTGGTAGGGTGTGTTTATAGATATACTTGGGATCAATTGCATTTCACAAAGTCAACAGACTTGTTGACTCTCAGTTTCAAGAAAATTTGACCATGTACTCGTTTGGAATAATATCATCTCAAGTTCTCACTTACCAACCACTACATTCCCATTAAGAATATATAACATCATCACAAAGACTCAAGGCTCGGGTCTTTCTTTATTAGATGGATTTGGCTCTTGGTCTAAAATACGCCAAGTCATCAACATCAGATATATTAGTTAATAATAATAATAATAATAAAAAGATGTAAGTTTGAAGATGGACTGGTGGAAGTCAAACTCGCATCACAGTTTTGTTTGTTGAGAGAATGCGAAAGCACAGAGAAAAAAGGCGTGGCGGTGGAGAGTCCTCTAGTCTAACTTATAAGGAAAATTTATGGAACTTTCATATATATATATATATATATATATAGATTAGGGCTTTTATCCAATAAGTTAATTATGCAGGATGGGCTTTTCAGGCAGAAATACATGAAGCCCACGTTTTAAACTATAAAACACTTGGATTGGAGTGGGACTAAAAGATGGCCCAAGCAATTTTATCCGACCTTTGCCCCGATAACTTCATCTAACAATCTTTCCGTCGTTGAACGATGCCTACTAGTGCGGAAACGACGGATTGCTTTTGTTATGGAAGAAACAGCCATCATCTTCATCTCTTGAGGATTGTCACAATTGTTTAAGTCCCACTGCAGTTGGCATTTAGACACTACAGTTGCCAAGTCGTCGGCCATGAGAGCAAATGCTTCCACTTTTTTCTGACTTCTGACATGCCGGGTGGAGATTGGAAGTGTGGTGAAAGTGGGTGATGCCCATTTGAGAAGCTCTTCCCCGTAAAACTCACCCTTCTTAAGGGCCTTGGTGGTCATTAATATTGATGATGGGGAAGTAGCAGCAGCTTCACTGGTAGTATTGGTATCGCTAGTACTAGGCGAGTAGTAGGTCCACATGGTCCCTTCTACAATGAAGAGCATGCAATCAAGTGGGTCTCCCATTCGAAAAACGAAGCTATTCTCGTTGTACACCACTGGCTTCAGATAGTCACACATCATTTTCAACACTTTTTCATCCAATTTTTTAAGCATTGGTACCTATATATATACATGAATATCAAGTCATCAATACATACCCAACAACATTTTCTTAATAACCATATAAAGAGAGAAAAGAGAGGTACGGGGTTTGAGAAACATACTGTTTTTAGTGTCTTCATGCAGAGACAACGCTTTAGAGATTTTCTGGTATGCCAAGGAAGAATAGAGAATAGATTCACCAAATCGGCGTCCTTGTTTTCATCTAACTTTAGCTTTATGATATTCATGATTTCTTTCCTCAAATCATAAGGTAATTCATTTCTGGATATCCAGCTTCGTACATCTAGCTCTTTCATTCTAATCTTCTGAGTTTTATCGTCTGATTTTTTAGCTTCCAACCGCATAGATGCCTGTTTCACCACATATATACAAAGCTCAACGTAAGATCAGCTCCTCAAATATATATATTTTCTCATTTAGATGTCCGTACGGATGCTATTGTAAACAAATAGGAAAGCAGAGAGGATAGTAGAAAATACATGACGTCCGTACAGTAATAATATCCAAACGTCTGCATATGAGAATTTCTATATATATAGCTACTAATTAAGAAGGTTATATATCAAGAGAGAGATTAATTCAGTACCAACCTCCACATTTCCAATGAGATATAGAAACAGTACCAAGCCAATGATAGAAATAAGAATTGCAAACAAGTTTTCCCACATATATGTACTTGTTGTGAGATTCGTGCCAAAGTTACTGCAATAAATTAGTTGCAGGATCAGTAATGACCCCCATTAGTCAACTCTGAACAATAACGTTACTTTTTATGAAAATAACTTATTGCGGAAAGTTGTTGATTGTCAATGCATATATGCAAACCTTAGATTCCGCAAGCCCCACCAAAAAGAGTAAAATAACTTCCTAGCAAAATGTATATGCTCCGAGTTATGATTCTTAAGGGAATCAAGAAATATTCCAAAATCAAAGGGTGCATCGGTACCATCTGGAGTATTTAATGGGCAACGCTCATTCAAAAATGTGATAGTTGTTGAAGATGTATTCCGACCATCGCAATAGAAGGCACTCATACATTCCTTTGGATTTGCACTATAATTTACACAAGCTTGGCGCCAACATGATGTCTCTCGTTGAATAGAAAAAAAATACCAAAACGCTCCGAGTACCTAATTAAGAGACAACAAAGAAATGCATTAATAAATAACATGAAGCATGCATTAAGGAAAAGGATATAGAGAATACCTGTAACAATTGTGACAAAATAAGGATTTTTCGAAATAAAAAGACAATGATTAAACTTACGTGACTGGCAAGAATGTAGAGAAGCAAGTTGAGTAAACCTTTAGCCCATATTCTAGTAGTGGTCCATATTCTGGTAGTAGTCCTTGTAAGTTCCTTACACCATAGATGAATTCGATAAATTCTTGGTAAATATTGACCGAGAAGGAAGAGATTCAAAACCTTCCTATGTTCCAAATATCCAGAGCCTCCCATTTTGTAAAAAACAACTAGTATTAGCAGCTGGAAGAAGAAATACATTAAAATATCGGGTTAGAACTTAGAAGTCAATTTACCGGTAGCAGCTAGCTGATAATTTACTTGGCAAAGTTTAGTTTGTCTTACTTGAGGGATTGGAAGAAGAGCCAAAAAGTCAATTACGATGGAGAGAGATAACCACGACATTTTCTGAGGTATTCCCTTAGCAAATTCAATTAGCTTTTGTATTTTCGATTTTGAATGCCAAGTTGTTCTTCGTACCACAGTAAATGTACTGTTTCTGGTTTTAATAGCTTCATAAACTTCATAGACAAAATGTAGCAGGAAAATGATATCCGTGAGTGATCGCGAAAGAAGAGCTGCAATCCTCAAGTTTTTGTCCTTTCCAAGGCACTTGTTATCCTCATCAATGATTGGAATGTAAAAGAACAAAGGATCTAATGAGATTGCAATCACACATGAAATCAAGAACATCTTATTCCACAATGGAATATTTGTAAGAAGTAAACCAAGTTTTGACCTCTTCATCACTTGGTACTGCCCCTCCTCCTCATCATCGCGGAAGAAACTTGTAGTGAAACCTGATGTGAGACTGATAATAAAATAAATTAGATCGAGCCATAGGATTATAACTTGGAAATTACTTTTCAGACAGCAAAGACTTAATTTCTATATTTATATATATACATATTCCTTTATTTTGGTTATCCTCTTTTTCTACTATTTAACAGTCTCAAATATATACCGTACGTACCTTGTTCTGCAAAACAAAAACCACTGAATATATAAGATGTTAGGAGACAGAATGAAGCTATAAAAGAAATAAAAGATGCAGTCTTAATAATTAATGTGAAGAAGTACTAATCCCACTATTTTCTCTGTCGGGTTCTCCACATATAGAGCTACTCTGGTGTTTTCCATAATAATTCAACTAATACTCAAAACCATAACTAGTAGATTCCAAGCGTGTATATACCTGGCACTGTAACACAAAATTTGATTAATTTGAGAGAGAGAGGGAGAGAGAGAGAGAGAGAGAGAGAGAGAGAGAGAGAGAGAGAGAGTTTAACTATATATATGGAAGCTGTGAGTTGTGACGACACCTGATCAATGGCTTAACTGAATTCAAGTAGTTCAACCCAGCTATTAATATTCAGTAGCTAGGTCTGCATTTTGTGTATACATAAGCTTTGACATTAATTAATGTTTCCATTATTGTCCAGACAGTTTGCATGTCAAAATCTTTTTATAATTTTCTTCTCCTTCCCAAGTCTTTTTGTAATATGTTTGGTGTTAACGAGCCAATTATGCCAATTAAAAAAGACTGAGAGTCGGATTGACAATAATAATAAGGGAACCTCATGTCAGACATGCATTTTAAATTGGTATTTTGTTAAGACTTGATACTTTCGACTGCATTAAAATTTGCCAAGTAAATCAGACTTCTAAACTTTGGCTTTTCATAAATAAAATAAAAAATAAAAAAAATTGACTTTTGTACTCGTTTGGGAATTTGTAGCTGATTTCACACTTAGCAGCAACCACTCCATATACAGCCAATAAGAATAGCCACCCTAAACCCTAAACAAACAACAAATTGCACCCATGGGCCATCATCAGAGTAGTTAGAAGAAGGAAGAAAAAAAGAAACATTAAAAAGACCCATTGCCCATCAATTTAATGTGGTTCTTGTGTTCATAGCAAATTTAGCTTTATTCTCAAATCCAAATCTTTTATTTTAAATCCCTTCCAAATACCTAATCTATTATGGTTCTTGTTTTCATACCATAAATAAACTAGCCTCTTCGCACGCGTTTTCGCGCCTGCGAGTGGCTTTTTTACAAAAAAATTTAAATTATTTTAGAATTAAAAATGATAATTCGTAGTTGTGTTCCATAAAAAAAGGATCCATTATATGATTTTTCTTTTAATTTTAATTTTTTTTAAATATGAAAAAGTGTGAATTTACCATATTATCCTCATTTAATTAATAACTAGCCCCTTAGCACATGCTCACGCATGTGCCAATTGGTTTTTTTTTAATTTTTAATTTTATTTTTAGAATTAAGAAAAAATAACATGGGTAGTTATGTTCCATAAAAGTATGACCTATTATCTGATTTTGTTTTTATTTTTATTTTTTTTAATATAAAAAAAATGTGTATTTACTATATTATCCTCATTTAATTAATAATTTCAATTCTTAATGTTTGAATTAACCAAGGGCATTTTCTAGTATTTTGAATGTTTCACATTTCTCTACCTTTTGCTTTATATATATAGATTTCAATTCTTAATGTTTGCATTAACCAATGACATTTTCTGGTATTTTGAATGTTTCACAATTCTCTGTTTTTTGCTTTATATATATAGATAAATCAAATTAGCACAAATCAAATTACATAAAGCCCCATTGTGGGAAAAGTAGCTTTAAAGATACATGGTCTGGGTTCTTCTAGTGGGTGGAGTGCGAAGAGAGATCGTTCTGAGAAGAAGTCCAGGTGGAGAGCTGTTGGATCTGTGGAGGTGGGGAGGAAGTCGGACTCGCATGTTCAAAATAGCGAGTGTGCTATTTTGCGAACCCAATTTCGGACTCACTATATTAGCTGTGCGAGTCCGGGCTTTTTTTAACTGTTGGGCTATATAGTCTCATTTAAACTAATCCCCTCCCTTGCCAAACATAGGTTTCAAGGACTATTTAACACAGTCCAATCCAGTGAGTCATAGTGAAGCATGCCAAACATGCCCTAAGACTCTAAACGAGGATCTCTCAACTATTTTTAGAGCCCGTATACAACTCGTCGTTTGGAATGGTGTTGTAGTTGACAAACTCTCACCGTTAGAATCCACTTCTGTAGCCAGGGGTGGGATAGACGACGTCGATGTAAGTGTCGTGGCACGTTGGTTCTTAAGACTGGCTAAACGACGTCGGATTGCCAGCTGCGCCATCAGCCTATTCTTCTTCCTTTTTATCTCTGCCCTTCTAATTCTCATTGTGTCTTGCACTGCCATATTATTCTGTCTCACCACAAACAATTAATTAATAAGCTAAAGGAAAATGATTGAAAATCAATAGTAGTAGAGAGACTTCGATACAAACCTGCGCAGTTCCCATGACATATATAAAATCAGTAGGAAGCTAGTGATAGAAATAAGGATTGCAAACAAGTTTTCCCACACATAAGTGCTTGTTCTGAGATTGGTGCCAAAATTACTGCAAAAAGTTAGAGGATCAAGCAATATTTAAAATAGAAATTACCGATGACTTTATAAACAATGCATGTATTTGAAGCAAACCTTATATTCCGAAGGCCCCACCAAAAAGAGTAAAAAAACTTCGTTGAAAATTTTACATGCGCTGTGTTGTTATTCTTAAGGGCATCAAGAAATATCCCAAAATTGAAAGGCGCTGAAGCACTATCTAGAGTATCTGTCGGGCAATGCTCATTTAGAAATGTGACATTTCTTGACACAAATCCGACTGTTGCAGTAGAAAGTATCCATACATCCTGAGGGATCTGTACTATAATTTACATAAGCCCAATGCCAACATGACATTTCTCGTTGAATAGAAAAAAAGTATACCACAACGCTCCGAGTATCTAAAAATAACAACTTAATTAGTAAATGAATTATCAATTAATGATTAATTGATCCATTAAGGAAAAATCATGTAAGGTAGAGGTAAGTCCAACATTTTCAAAGAAAACTTCATCCAGAACATTACTAATTATCAAATAGTATTAAACGAAAATGACAATGGAGATGAAACTTACATGACTTGCAAGAATGTAGAGCCAAAAATAGAATAGACTTTTAAACCATGTTCTATTAATCTTTCAAAGTTCTTTGGACGATAGGGGAATTCGACATATCCTTGGTAAATATTGACCAAGAAGAAAGATATTCAAAACCTTTTCATGTTCAAAATATCCAGAGCCTCTCATTTTGTAAATTGCAACTCCTATTAGCAGCTGGAGAAAATAAATAAAAATTGGTTAATTACAGCAAGCTGGTTAATTAAGAGCTAAACACAAAAAGTTTAGAAATTAATTTCTTACTTGTGGGATGGGAAGAAGAGCGTAAAAGTTAATTGTGATGGAGGAAAACAGACATCCATGTATCCACGTATCTGAGCTATTTCATTGGCAAATGCTCTTGTTTCTGACTTCCGACAAATTGCACCAGGCAAACGATATCCGTGAGTGAACGCAAAAGAAGAGCGGGCAGTCCTTAACGCTTTGTCCATTTGAAGGCACTTGTTATCCTGATCGATGATTAGAATGTAAAAGAACAAGGGATCCAGGAAGATAGCAAACACGCATGATGTTAGAAATATCTTATTCCATATTGGAAAGAATTGCCCCTGTGGATCACTAATTTCCTTTATTGCGGCATATATCCCCCGTCTAACCGGTCTGGAAAAGACACAACAAACAACAAAGGTTACCAAATCGGATGGTCGGAATGAAGAAACATAAAAACAGCCACTGAAGCAAGCTCTTTAATTACTTTATATAGGGCATAATAATTCATTAGTACTCCTATCCTATCCTATGAAGCTCTTTCTTCTTTTCTTTTCTGTTTTTTTTTCTTCTTTTTTGGGAAATGCATACCATCGACATTTACAAGTCAAAGATTTAACTTGTAATTATTTTGAACAGCCAAAGCCACTGCAGTCTGCAGATACAAGTCTAATATAATACAATAGTTATTTATCTTGTACTCCAAGCCCTGACAGTGAAAGAGAAAATGTGATCGGTTTGAGAAACGGAGAGAGTGAGTAGTGTTCAATTACATGGAAGTTTTACCGCAGGGACACCTGAATGCAGTGGCGTAGCCAGGAATTCTCTCAAGGAGGGGCAACATTATTAGCCAAGATAAATGGAAAAGCCATACCACCACCAGACTTGGACTAGGATGGGTTAGAGGAGAAGAAAAATGCATACAAGGATGTGCCAAGAGAATAAAACTATGAGATAATAGATTAATAACCTAAAATCTTAAGTATCCATTGTTTTTCTACATAAATATATTTTAGAATAAGTTCAATTATATAAGAAAACTTTGATGGTTGTTGTTCCAAAAATATTTAATGGGTTTTAAGACAATATTGGAAGATGCTGCTAATTAAACTGAACATGAATAAAAACACATACGTTGTAGAAGGTCAAACCAATAGCTCTACCACCCACTTCCATATGCTTCATGCCTTCTTCTCTCAAGGTCAAGTTGAAAATAATGAGCAAACAAAAGCCTAAACTGTAAGTGTTACAATTGGGTTTGAAGGGTCATATGACCCTCCTAGGCCTTAATTGGCTCCGCCCTTGCCTGAATGGCTTAATATAGGAAGGAGGCTTTCAGTTTATAGGGTGGAGCAGAGAGAGAAGGAGCATTTGAGTGGCAGAAACTGAAGCTGGCTAGCATTCTATGCAGGAAATATGTTTTCACGCAATGCAAATGATGATAAGCAGCAAAATCCCTTTTTGAAACCACATCTGAGACACAACTGAATTCAACTTGTGGGT